CTTCTTCTCACATTTAGCAAGAGATGTACTTTTTGATATAATTTGGAGTATTGGCTTTATATTTGTAGAAATTACACTCTACAAAACGGCTGCTGAAAATTATTAATATGCGAAGATGTATCGAGAAAAAAATTATATAAAAAAGAAATAATGGAATTGTACAATATAAGTTAGTGGTACAATTTCAAATATAATATAATTCTGAACAAAATGAAATTTGAATCCAATTTTCAAAGTTGAAAAACTTTGATTTTTCCCTGCTTGATATCCTCCAACATTCTCCACACAATAAAATTAGAGTTACTAAACTTATACCTCGACAATTGGATTATGCTCGTACAGAATTGTACCGTGTTCAAAATCGTATTACTTTACCTACACGAAAAAAAAATTAATTGAGTAGTACAGCAGACCTATATAATAATTTACTACGCGAATTCAACATCGATAACTAAGAAAATTTGATGATTTAATAAATCGCTAATATTATTCAACTGTCAACTTCGCTATTTTAATATAGAAAATTGATTGTCTGTATATTACAACTGTAGATTTGCTGAATCAGTGAAGTTTTCAGTTATGTTTTTTTCCGTGAATTTATTCTTATTTCTTATTCCTTTCATTATGTCTGAGTTCTAGCGCTTTCAAGCATACTCAAGTTTATTTAGCAAAATTATATCAAAATTAATTATATCGGTGGCAAATTTTAATCATCACATAATCAATTATAGACGTCTTAAATCAGATTCTGAAAAATCCGAAAATGACATCGATATGTTACATCCATAGAATGTTATTTATTTCTAATGTCTAATTGCAGAGTAGTATTAATATAATATGTTCTAAGACTAGAATCTCCACGCTTTTAATACTTCAGGTAATTATTTTGATTTTTATTTCTATAATATTGCAAGAATATTATTCTAACAAGATTGAAATATCTTTTTTTTTACAAAATGTTGTAGATATATTCCTGAAACGTTACTTAGACGTTAGAAACGTCATTTAAATTTTAATCACTGAAATCCCAATTAAATGTGAGAAGCGAATCATCTACTAATGGTAATTTTAGAATATCAGATCAATATTAGGTGACTTCAAGACATCTTAAAAAAATGATCTTTTTCTTGTCTAAGAAATGACATCTTACTGTAATCATCATTCATTATTCACCACCACGTCAACTAAAAATTACTATATATAAATAGACTACTATTTAATATAATATAATACTAAATAGATAATCTCTATATGTTATCTTTTGATGTCGATCTGCTACTTGAGAATGAGCAAATGAGATGTAAAAAGTTTTAACATTCTAATAATCAGTTTGAGGATCTTAGATACTTGTTTTTGTCTAACAAAATTATTTTTAGATCTGTATCTAGCTAATTTTTAGATGCTTTAACAATAACTTTCTGTCCGTAATAATATTTATTTGTATACGTAATTATTTTATGTATGTATTTCTTCTATCTCATTTTCTAACTTTTCAAAGGTGATTGACACAAGTCATAATATCGGTAGATTATTATTAAACAGAGAGTTGAAGGCCGGTCACCATAGATCAATTCAACGCAAATTCGCGCGCCATTTTTGGTTGAACAATTGAATCATAGTATCGCAAGTGAATCTGATAATTGGCTAGCACTCACCTTGTGTATCACAAAGATATAAGCAACAGCATAATACCGAACATATTGTCCGATAAAAGCGTTCGCTAAACGAGATACTCCTCGTTGAAAGTCGAGGAGAGACTAATATGAGTCTCGGTTTAACTTACGCATTATCTTTTTCTAATTCTAAGAATTAAACTAAAGATTAAAGTTAATCTACATTGATGAAAATGAACATAAGCCGGTTTCTTCAACTTTTTTAAAAATAATAAATAATTAATATGATTTATTTTCCATAACGTTTGCTCCGATATCCCTAGTTACTCATTATTGCGTAATCATTCCCTCTTCTCGTAATGAACTTGTATAGTACTCCGTGGTGTATCCGCTATGATGCGATAAGGAAGAATGAGATCCAATCCGAGAAGCGGTAAGAGGAGGTCAGAGGACACAACGCTTCCCGAGAAGAAGTTGATAGAGAGAGACATTATCTTCCTAACAACTTGTCGTGACTCATTCATACATAGCATGTATATATGTATACACATTGATCATATGTATACAAATTTAATTTAAATTATTAAAAGATATTGAATAAAATAATAGTTAAAGTGGCATACAGAAGTCAAGCGCGGTAATTCTTGCGCGAATGAAAAACTTTCTATGTATCGTATAATACGAAATTACATTATTTTAACAATTTTATTGTTAATTTTTTTATTTTTTTACATTACGATAACGCAAAAAATTGATTATATATTTTAATTTCTGTTTTGAGTCCTTTTCATATCTTCCAATAGTTTTGTAAGAAATAATCAATAATAGATAAATTACTGTCAATATATACTGTTCGCTTACATTATGCTTGCCGTGTAAAAGGAGATCACATAAAGTGCATAAAAATCTATGTAGATTTGCATATATCGAACATAGTCGAACATAGTAGTGATATTAGTCAAATAATTAATTATATCAATGTGTCATAATCAGTATTTAATGTAATGAATAAAAAAAAACTGAGAAGATGAATATCCAATTTCAAATTTAACTTGATTAACATCAAATCAGAAATTATATTAATAAAAGAATTATGTCCGAACGGAATGTAACATATATTGACTCTAAAGACATTGATAATAATTAAATTTAATACAAAGTTTGAAAATATTATTGTAATATATGTATTATAAATATTAAAATACAACACATATATCAATATATACAGGATATCCTGCAATTTTAAGTACTTTTGTGTAAATAGAACGGAAGTGTAAACTGAATCGAAAAATTTTCTATCATTTTGCAATTTTCGTAACAGTTAATCAAATATTAATTATAAAAATCCTTGAATATTAGTTTTTAATAATTTTTTACTCAAATACTATCAACTTTACAAAAAATCAGCGAGAGACAAAAATTGCTAATTTTCTTCTCATAAAATTCTGAGAACTTTTTCAAAATTTTTTAATATTTCTTTATTTTCTTATGTTAATAAAAATAGTTGTCAATAAAAACATGCAATACTAAAAAGTTAATAAAAAATTCTGAAAAAAATACTTATAGCTCTAATGCCCGTATTCACAGTCAGACTTAAATATCTTCAGATGCTCAGTAGCCAAATAATTTGTAAAATATCTGAAATAATTTGTAAAGCATCTGAAGATGCTTTATAAAACCGTTTTAAGTAATATCTTAAGACACTAATGCGATCCTCTGATTGGTTCGTGACTTCTTAAGACCGATCTTACTTAAGACGATCTTGAATATAAGATCTGATTATGAATACCGATCTCAGGAAGTCTTAAAGCTATAAGGCCTGACTACGAATACGAGTATAAGTTTCATACAACAAAAACGTTCAAATTAAATAGCGATCTAAAAAGGCATTTTTGCAGTCGAACAGGAAAAAAGGAAATCAGTGGCGCCATCCATAAAATTATTTAATATCACATTAGTTGCCGACTGTACATAAAATATACATTTCTATTTCGCCACAATAAGGGGAAGTTCACATTTTGAAAAAGCAGAAAGAGGAAAAGCAATGGCCAATCAGAACTCGCGCTGGTAAGTAGTACAAAAGTAGTAGTAAGTAGTACAAAAAGCCGAAATTGTAGACTACCAACTAGAGTTCTGATTGGCTGCTTTACTGCTTTCCACTTTTCCGTCAAGGTATAAACGTACTCTAATATTATTAGAGGTTTTTTTCTGAAGCCTTGTGTCCTCGGATGAAGAAAGAATTGACCAATCGCAATGGTCATGTGAAAATTGTTTAAATGTGATTTAATTTTTTCTCTTTCCGAGATTTCGAACCGATTTCTAGCATCGTGGACATCGAGTTTTATACTAAGCATACCTCAAGATCATATCCAAAATAGGATTGTAAACCATAAGTAAGAAATTAACCAATCATAGTCATTGTTTTTGTCATATGCAATTATGATTGATCAATTTTTTCCGGCTTACGACTTACAATCCTATTATAGAATAGGGCCTCTATTCTTGAAAAGAAACGTGTACCAAAAACTAGGGAAATATTACTATAATATACGTTTTTTCTATTCTATAGTACATCCTTAATTTTTCGTATACATTTTTTTTCAAGAATAGAGGCCCAGGTTTGATCAATCTACAACTACGATTTACGTTCCATGACTTAATTAACGATCATCTTAGGCTCTAAAAATTTAAGAAGAGACGAATTACTTTGTCTACTGTGTCTAGCAGGCTCAAGTGTTGAGTCCACTAAATACGCCTTTTGGATGCGTTTAGAACGACATCGCTCACTGAGGCTATGGTCAAAGTCTCACTACAAATGCTTTGAAGCATTTGATGGATCAATTAGAAGAAAGAATTTTACAAACTGACCAATTAAAAACGTTTCAAAGCGTTTGCAGCATCGCGTTGACTATATTCTGCGTTTAGTGAGCTTTTTCATTTGATTGATTTATATTTTAGGATCTAATGGAATATACCAATCAGATGAAAGAGTTCATTGAATGTTCAGTAAGTTATTGCGGGATTATCTAAACGTTTTATCGATAATTGTAACTATCGTTAATTAGCGACAATCAATGGCAGGACTATCCTAAAAGGAAGAAGTGGCACTCATTGATTATCATTAGTTAACGATTGCAACAGTTGTCAATAAAATGTTTAGAGAATCTTGCAATTATTCTCGTTATGAATGCACCCTAAGTGCTGTCCCATGGCAGTCGCTAATCTGATTGGTTGTATTACTTTTTCGAAATTCCGACTGTCATGGAGAAGCGCCCGAATTCCGCTATTGATTGTACATCTTTTTATATTCTATCTATGGTCGTCATTGTCCGTTGCTATTCGGATGCCAATATTGCCAATGGTTTGTGAAGTTTAAATATTGGAAGTAGTAACACGTGGTTTTGATAACCTTTCTTCTCTGTTTCAGAATTGTCCTTTCCGTAAGGCATTAGTCTTTTGTCCGATATATGATTAAAGGATCGTGAAGATGTCGCGCTCCGTGAAAGATTCAGACGATGACTATGAGCCAAAACCATGTACGTATTGCTCGATTTCTTTTTATCAGCATGTGCACGAGATAGAGCACCGGTTAATCGTGGCACTCGATGCTAAAAGTTGTGCGATTTTTCGTTGTCAGTGATTGTGTTGTAACGCAAATGTGTCGTAACTTTATCTTTGTTTTTTTGCTCCTTTTGGTCTTAATGTCGTTTTCGAAATTATTGCTGTTCTTGCTAGAATATTTTCGCTGATCCGAGAACCGCATCCGGTTTTTTTTTCTATTAACGGTTTCAATCTATGACCGTTTTTATGTTTATTAATTTAAATGAATTGAGAATGAACTTTTCTAAACTCTATAAATTCATATGTCACATTCTGGGATGCAATAATCTATTGAAAAAAAATCTTTCCTGTTTTTATATGATTACATTTGGTTTTAGCAAGTGTATATATATATATATATATATATATGTGTACATATATATGTGTGTGTTTAAATTTATAAAAACAATAAGATAAAGAACTGTATTTATTTTGATTATCTATATAAGTATATAAATAAATATGTTTATTGTACAATGAAAAGTCAAAATACATTACTCTTCTAATTATGTAAATATGTTAATGTAAAAAATTTTAAACTAAAATTTAAGAATGCACATTATTATCTTTGTTTTATTTCTTTAATTTTAAATTCTCAAACTTTGCTATATTCAGAGAACATACTGTTAACATATTGCTTGTTATTTTATCTTTATTTTACATTTAAATAAAATGTAAAATAAAGATAAAATAATGATAAAATGATACAATAGCTAGCACGCTTCCCATGCAGTTAAATGTCTTTAAGTTTGATTAGCTTAGATATTAGAAATATCCTTTGGTATTTCTTGTGTTGTAGCTATTGGTCGTATGCAGACTCGAATGCTTACTGTACAATCGGTGAATTCTCCATTACGCCGAAGCAGCAGAATAAAACAGAATAAATGTTCGCCAGGTTCTGAAAGTGATAGTAGTATCAGCAGTACTCAAACAACTCGGAGTGCTAGAACACGAACAACAATGGATTCCACTGTCTCAGATACAACGAAGAAGCTACGTACTAGAAAGCATTCCATTTCTTCAGAAATTAGTGAAATTGACATTGATGTCATTTCACAAACACCTGTAAAACGAACTACAAGACAAAGTTTAGGTGCTACAAGTCTTGTTAGCACACCAACTAGAGTTAATACTCGAGCAACCAGGTACTGCTAATGTGTTTATATTTAATAGTACATGTTATATTTCTAACCAATGTTTTGTATAATTATCAGTAAGCGTTTTATGCGTGCTGGTTCCGAGACAAAATCACCATTGCCAGCAACTAGACTTACACGTACAACAAGAGCAAGGTCTATCGATCCAGAATCTTTGACTGAAAATAAGAACCAATCTAGTTCACCAATCAAGACACGTAGGCGAACATCTGTGTTGCCATCGAGTTCTCAGATTAAAGAACAAATTGAACCGAATGATCGTATACTTTATGTACGATTGGATTCTACAATAGTTGAAACTGATGAAATTACAAATTCCGGTAATTTAAAGATATATTAGAAGTAACTACTGTAATACTTATTATATATTATTATAATTGATAAAGATATTTTTCTATAATTTTTATAACAAATTTATTAAATACATTCAGGAAATTCAGATTCTTCGCCAGATAAACAATTACAACGCTTACATCAAATTAAAAGAAAACTTCAAAATGTAGTTAAGGATAAAGTTGAAGAAGATTATAGTCATGGTGAGTAAAAGAGTAGTAATAAGAGTAGTAATAAGAGTAGCAATAGTAAAATTACCAAAATAATGAACTGAAATAAATTGTTTAAAAAAAAATCTATCTTTGTACCTCCCCTTTTTTTTAAAAGAAAATGTAGAGACTTCGATTGATTTGTCAAAATCTGATGAAACACTTCAACTGTCAGAGAAAAAGGATGCAATACAAATCGAGGATATTACTAGAGAAACAGGGAAGAACATAGAGAATACTCTTGGTAAATATAATTAAAAACTGCCTTAAATCTCAGTATTTGAAATTGTTTGACAAATGATACATTTATTATTTTTTATTGTAAATTTATTTAAATTTAATAAACTATATAAATTTATAGCATTTTAAGAGAGTATTATCTAAGATTCAGAAAAACAGGGTAAACAATTTTTTTTTCTTAAAAGACATATGTGCTTTGAGGTTTTTTTGTTTGTTTTTTATTATCTTGTATTTTTATCATCTTGTAAATTTAGATATCTTATTAACTAGTCATCAAATAAACTATTATATTATTATACTAATCAAAAAAATTAAAAATTCACAAAATAGGCGGAATTCGATACCGCAACTGGGATAATTACGATTATCGTCAGCTCTAAACGTAAGAAACCTGAGAATTTTATAATCAAGAAATATGTTTCTATGACCTTTATTAAAATTCCCTGTTAAAATAAATTTATATTAATAAAAACGGACTAATTGAACAAAAATTTCAATTTTTTGACTACATTTTTTAACTTAAATTGTTATAAAAAAGAAAAATTTAAAATATAATTTCCATAAAAATTTATCATAGGTAAAATTTATGCTATTTATTTATAATCTTCAATTCTTGGGCCAATAACAATTCTTTCTTTTATTCCTGTTTCAGCGATTCTTCTAAACTTTGAATTATTTTTACTATTTTCATCATATTAAAGGCATGTTTTTCCAAACAGTCTATTCTAATCCCTTTTGCATATAAATAAATGGCATTCTAATCTTTTATTTTAAGACTTATTTATCTTTTTTATCAATGAGGGCAAGAATGAGTACAAATTAACATACTTTATAGTTATTTCTTAAAATAATTATTTCTATTCTTTATTATTTATTATTTTCTATTCTTTGTTATTTATAACTCCAAAATAATTTTAAGTCCTATATATGGAAATGTTTTAAATTTATATCACTATTTATGAAACTTCAGGAGTCTTCTTTTTATTATAATATTGTTTCCAAAAAATCGCTTATTTGAAAGGAAATTACTAAAAAGATTCTATTGTACTGTAACATCAAATCATCTTTTTACTTACAATTGACTCCAAACCGTTGTAACTGTTGTAACTTAAGCTAATATTTAAAATATTTCAAAATTTTTTTTCAAAAAATATTCTACAAATATTAAAAAATAAAATATGAGAAAAAAATTCGTTTTTTTTTTTTATATCAACAAGTGAATGTTCCTTTAAGAGCCGGTTGTTCTATCTTCGAATAAACTGATAATTTATTTAATAGATAAACAAGGGAGTAAAAGCATAAGAGTAAGAGAATTGAAGTTTATCAAAAGGTGGAACAACTTAGCTCAAATGACGTAAAATAAATAATAATTTATATATGTTTGTGTTTGTAGATAAAGAGCAAAAGAAGTTTGAAGAAACTCCACCATCCGACAAGAGTATAATCGAAGAATTCTCTTCCTATTCTTCTCCAAATCATCGAAATTCCGCAAAAGAAGACACAAAAATTGTTGAAAATCTTTCAGATATAGAAAAATCATTACTCGACATATGTGGATCAAATAAAGAAATGGAGGTTATGCCCGAAAACTTATCAGGTACTTCTCTTGAGGAGGAAAAAAGTAATAAGGAAAATCAAATGCTGAATATTATTAGTGATGTAGCAGAAAAGCTTGTGCAGCCTAAGCCGGCATCTTCTATCAAATCTTTTACTTCATCTTTTATGGGTGAATTATTAAGTGAAAAGGAAACTAAATCTATGAAAAAGGAAGTACACTTAAATAAGAGCCTTCGCTCAAGAGAATCGACAGAAGTTGCAATTAAATATAGTAATCTGTCAGAAGAAACTATTGATAACTCTCAAGAAAAAATGGATATTTCTATAGAATCTAGAAATTCAAGTGCTTCAGATAAAATCATTTTGTTACATGAAAGTATAGAAGTAGTTGATAAAGTTACTAACAAAGATGAAATATCTACTGAAAATATATCTGCTTATAATGAGAATGCAACGGAAATAATTAACGAATTAGAGAAAACTGATACGAAAGAATGTACTATCACAAATAACAAAAATTCTAACAAAAGTGAGTCAAATGAAGTAGATAAAACATCGCGTTTATCTATAAATCTAGTTAAGTCAAAGCAGACAAGTGATAGTAGAGAAAATCTCACTTCTATTCTAATTACGGATGATAACGAAATAAAATTAGTGTTAGAAGAACAAAGTTGTAATGATAACGAAGTTTCGCCAAACGTAGTACACTCTAAACTTGATCAATTAGTAGATTTACAAATATCGTCACCAATTAATAAAACTTCTACTGACTCAGCTACTGTAATAGATAAACAATCAGCTTTAACTCAAGATAAGATAATAGTAATTGATAGTTCTGATTCTATAGAACAAGAAGAGGAAAATTTATTGAAACAAGAAACAGAGTCGATATCCCAATCTTCTATTATTGTCCTGGAGACAAATAATTCCGCAAGTAATGATTCGAATATAGTAATTCAAGATAATCAACTTACTGATGTGATAGAAGCATCTAAAAAATCTACAATGGATATATCATTTGAGAAAACAGTTTCAAAAGATGTTTTATCAGAAAAAGTGAAGTCAAATTTAAAACGGAAAAGTACAGATAATTTGGAGGGAGAAAAGGAAAGTTTACAAATGGAAAGGACTCAAAAGGATCGAGAAAATGTAAATGTCGTTGATGATGTTTCTGATGTCAATGTTGGCATTAATTTATTCCAAGATATTCCCGCTGACAAATGGAAGGAGAAAGACGATGTTAAAACAGATTCAGTACAGTCTACCTCCCAATTAGTGGAAGAGGTGGAAAAAGAAAATGAAGCTGAATACGATCTTATCTTGGTGGACAAACAAGCATGGTTGGCAGCTGAAACCATAAAAGCGGCAAAAGAAGCAGAATCTTTTGAATACGATTCCGATGACACTGTATTATTAAAGAGTCGGTTAGATTCGCTCACGTCACAACCGAATTATGATATTGAACAATTAGCTACCGTAGATGAAGAACTTACATTGGATATTGATGCTAATGAAAAAAACGAAAAACAAATAAAAAAACGAAAATCAAGAACTAAAAAGAGACTTGTATCCGAAATAGATGAAGATATTTCTAGATATACAGAAGATGAGAATTTAATTCCTGTTGATAAATCTTTAAATGAATCCAAAATAGCTTTAAATCGAACTAATGACCAATCCAGATTAAATAAATCAGAACAGTCAGAAAAAACAAAAAGACGATCTTCCAAAACAAATAATGAATTAGAGAAAGAAATTGAAGATGATGCCAATGAATTAAATAGAAGTTCGCTAATAAGTAAGAACAATATATCTTTACAAAAATCGACAGGAAAAAGAATATCATTAAACAAATCTTCGAAAGATATATCTATGCAAAATATTTCTCCAAATAAATCTCAAACAGATAATTCAGAGAAAGAACTTGATGACACAACTGCAAGTACTAGGAAAAAATTATATAAGAAAAAACGTTCTTTGGAACAATCATGTAATGAAGATGCAGATGATAATGCAATCGAATCTGAAAAGAAGAATGTAGCAACTGAAGATTGCAGTAAAAAGCATGAAAATACATCCTTAAATCATTCTACGGATCAGGAATCAGAGTCAATAGATACTAGGAAAATAGTACATTTGAACGAAAGTGACGATAGTGACATAGATGTAAGCATAGTAGCTATGGATCTTGGATCTAAAACTTCTATGATAGCAAATATGGGATCGGATAGCGAATGTGAAATTCCAAGGTACCTATTTACAAAAGCAAACAGCGGAAGTAATACTGATGATAGTAACGGCTATTCTGATAGCCTCAACAGAGAATATAATTTGGATGGATTGGAACTTAAGTTTTCTGATGATGATGTAGCTGCTGATGAATGTAGGGATTCAGAAGTAGAATTTTCAGATTCTGATGATAATGGTTCAGATCTTGAAGATTTTATAGTTGATGACATTGAAATAGAAAATGATGACGAAGAAGATAGTGATACTGAAGCAGAAAATGAGGAAGAAGAAAATGATGAAGATAATGATATTGAAACAGAAAATGATGAAGAAGATAATAACATTGAATCAGAAAATGACGAAAAAGATAATGACACTGAAGAAGAAAATGCTGAAGAAGATAATGACATTGAAGCAGAAAATGATGACAAAGAAGATAATGAAGATGATAACGCTGTACAAAAAGAAAAAATGGAAGATGAAAAAGAGAAAGCGAATTTTAACATGGAATTAAATATCGAAAATAAAGACAATGAAGATATACAGAAAAAAGATATAGCAGACAAAGACACAAATCAAAATAAATTCATCGAAATGGAAGCTGTTACTTTATACGCCAGTACCTCTCATAAACTGCCAAAGATTCATGAAAATAATAACAAATCTATCGAACATATTTCACCTTGTAGAAGTGAGACAGAAACAAAACATAAAAATGACATAAAAATGAAGAAATCTAATATGAAGAAAAATGAAAAATCTATTTTACAAGATTCATCAAATTCAGACTTGTCGATTAAGAAGAAGAAGAAAAAGAAATCCCCTGTGAAGGAAAATGAAACTATTCCATTAGATATGTGTAACATAATCTCTTCATCACATAAAAGTATATTGGATCCACAATGTCCAAAAGATAGAGCTGAACAACACTTGAGTGAAAAATTAAATGAATTTAAATCAACATTTGCAAAATTGTCGGAATCACACGCGTTAATGGAATTTAGTACCCCAGATCTTAACAGTAAAAAATTAGAATTTGATAAAACATTTGAAAGAATTCCGGAAAATAAAGCTAATAAATCAAACAATACGATTAACACAACACAAAATATTTCAGTTAAGGATAAATCAAAGAAGGATCTTACATTAAATAAAGACAGTTCAAAAAAATTCAAAGATGCAAGTAAAAAAAAGATATCAAGCGATCTTTCGCTTTTATCTGACTTATTGAAAAAGGTAGAAGGATTGACAAATCCTCTGAAATCACCTAAGATAGCGTCACGTAAAACAATGAATATAGATATCGAAACACCAAGATTAAAATATCTTAGAAAAGAGAAGTTAAACGAAAGTGCGCCAACTAAATTAGAATATAGTACAGAAACTAATTCATTACAGAAACAATTATCTGCAAAAAAGGATACTACACAAATAAGAATAAAAGAGAAAAATAAAGATAAAATACATGATTTGATAATACCGTCTAATGACGATGTCATACAATGTAGTCAAAAGAAACAGAAAAAACGTAAGAGACAAGACTCAGCAAATAAAAATATAAGCGATGAAGTTTTGTCTGAAAACGTAACAGAATTAAATGTTCCTAAAAAGAAGAAGCTTAAGCTAATTCCATTAACTGTTGTAGAGGATAATATCCACAAAGATATATGTGAGACTAATAAGAAAAAGAAGAAAAAAGATAAATTAAAGGAAAATATCACTGGTAAAGCTAAAAACGCTATAGAATTAAATGTTTCTAAAAAGAAGAAGCCTGTCAAGCTTACTCAATTACCTACAGTAGAGGACAATACTCTTGAAGATATATCATTACTTCATAATGAGAAAAAGCTAAAACAATCGATATTAATGAAATATATCATCCGTGAAGTTTGGTCTAAAGATATAACAAAATTGAGACCAAAAAAGAAGGAATATGATAAATTTACCCAATTACCCGTTGTAGAAGACAATATTCGTGAAGATGTAAGTCAGATTAATGAGAGAAAAAAGAAAAAGAAAAAACAAGATACATCAAAGGAAAATGTAATCGATAAATCTTTATCTACAGATGTTATAGAAATAAAGATACCTAAAAAGAAGAAACGTGCCAAGCTTGCTCAATTATCTATCGTAGAGGATGCTATCGAAGAGGCATGTCAAATCGATAAGATTAAGAAGAAAAAGAAACAAATTAATATAGTTGAAGAGAATACAAATGTAAACAAAGATATGCTTCGAAATATTCGCGAGAATAAAACAGAATTACTACAGCATAAGAAGAAAAATAAAGTCATTAATAGTTTAGAATTGGATTTACTTACAGATAAACAAGAACAGCAAGTAAAAAAGAAAATTAAACGACAAGAGACAGTGGAAAGTATTGAAACTTTGCAAACAGAGAAGAAAAAGAAGAAGAAGAAGAAGAAGAAGAAGGAAGAGGAGGATACTTTACTAATACAAATTCCAGTTTCAAAAAAGTCTGAGAAAATTTTGCCTAGTAAATCACGACTACAAAAAACTGCATTAGGTATGAGTAAATTGAAAAATGTAGCCTATAACACTAAGGAATTAGATGAAACTGATGCAAAGGTGTGTACTGAAGAATCGAGATCCAAGAAGAAACGCAATCGAAGTGAAGATGTCGAAAATGCGATCTGTATGAATATTCCTAGGAAATCAAAGAAAGAAATTAAAGAGAAAAAATTTTTACTGCCTTCAAGCGGTCTGAAACGACTTGCGGATGATGTGATCGAAAATCTTGCGGATGTGCCAACGAAAGCGAAAAAAAGACAGAAAACTTCGCGAGATAAGGAAAAAATGGTATCAACAACGACGGGTAAAGTAAAAGTGATGACCACTGATCGCGATAACACATTAAATACTCCTGATTGCACCACGCAATTTCATGTAGTAAATTTGCAGAAGACTAAAAAACAGCCATTGAAAGGAGCTGCCGCTGCAGTTTCGTTTAGGGAACGTATGCTTACTAGAAATAACAGAGAACCAATGTCGTCCTATTTGATGTTTTGCGAGAAAATGAGTCATCCTAAATAATAGATTTTTTAATATGTATTAAATGTATGTTATTTTTAGATTTTACTGTCCGAATGTGTGTATTTCTTTAATATTTTCTGAATTTAAAAGTTAACAAAACTTGTACAAGTTATTGTGTTTATAATTTTGATTTTTATTATTTGACACATTTCTCGAAAACAATTCTATATCGGATTTATTAGGGGAATAATTGTATCTTTTAGTTTTTTGTTTATCATTGCACATTTACTGTATATTTCTATATGTAATAAAACTGTTCCATTTATTGAAATTTATAAAGTAAGAAACCTAATTCCAAGATGCATCATAGAAATAAGTATGTCACAAAAATAATTCTAAATAAGTAGATTACAAAATATATTTCTATTAACAAAAATTTATACAAGTGTGTGTTATTTATCTAAACTGATACAGCCAGATAGGTTCTTTTGATACTGTATCGAATATTAACGAAATTAATTTTTTTCACGCATAGTTCTCAAGATAATATAATAATTCCATTTCTCAAGCTCTTATGACGATGTCCGACGATATCTCCGTTTTAATATTTAAAAAACAAGAACCGTTCGCAGTATTATTTTGTCCACTGAATATCACGCATGCAAGACTGTTTATTGCGCTATATTGCCAAACTTTGTGAATCCATTTATTTACAGTGCGAAACGTTTCTTCTAGCTGTTCATCTTTCAATTGTTCTTCATTAAGCTTTACGTGGCATAATACAAAAGCATGCTCCATCGCTATTTCTGAAGTTCGCTCTACAGCATGTTTATTGTTTTCTGCTATCACAAGACGTACCTACGATCATCGATAATCAATATTAAATTAATGAACAAATTTCATCTTGTGTTTTTCAATTTGTTTTAATTTCTTGATAGATATAAACGTTCGTTTAAATCAGAAACGTTTAATATATTGTAGATGCATACTAACTTGATCATCCTTTGCGAAACTTTCATCATCCATGACATTGAGAGAAGAGTTCGTTAAATACTTGGAATATTCGGATATCACTTCATCATTGCCCACGATAGCGGCAGTAGTGCCTTTATTTTTCGTTATATGACTGAATATTGACGTGGCATATTTCTTTATTTCTGTTTTTTGTAATTCTCGCTTTGTTTCGTTATTAGTCTCCATTTTCAAGATTCTCATACTACGATCACCAAGCAACACAGCGTCCCCGTAATTCACACTGTTCGCTAATTTTAACTTTACCAATTTCATAGAAGCCTTCGAGTCTTCTGTTGAGCAATGTCCAGCTTTATCGTCTTGAATATTCTCTCCGAGAAACTCGCGCGCCAAGATCTGTAATTTCGTTTTCCTATACCTGTGTTAAATAAGAGAACATTAAGTGAAATGCACCTATATTCTGTTCTAAATTCTATCGATATTTGTTATTTTATAATACCTATCTCCAGTGAGATTAAATATTACAGAAGTGTCAATGATATAGGGATGCATCATTTTTAATGTATGCAAATCAGAATTCAAACTTTGTCCTACAAGAATTGCGTTTGGAGGAAGTAACGTCCTTATTCTCTGCTGAACATCGTGCAATGTAATCGTGACATCATCTAACATATTCTCAGTAATACCGCTGTACCGAGTCAGGTAGTCCGTTATTACATTCTCAGGTTTTACTAAGCTGTCGTAAATTACCTATAATCAATTTGCATGTTTTTATCGTCTAAGACACAAATATATAATACTGTACTTACATTCATATCCTCATCTACAATACTTATTCTAGTGAGTTCAAGAATGTTGCTTGTTGTTAAGCACATTTCACAATCTAAGCCAAACATTGGTGATGTTGATGTAGCCTCTTCATAAACATCTTTTGTTAATATATACGAACCGTATCTACAATTATATTAATTCGTTAATTTTATATTTGCAAAAATATAATTAACATCCGTCCCTATTGGAAAAATTTTGCCAAAAATTCACTAAAAGTTTAGTAAAAATTTCAACATAGTTTAAATAAATATGAAAACAAAATTATATTTTTTACACAGCAAACATATGGATGGTTCCTAAATTAATTTTTACAACTTTTCTGAGCAAAATTATTCTCAATGAAATTTCAGTACTTTTAAAAAAATTTTCAAAAAAAATAGAACAGTAAAACCTTGCCTTTCTGCTAATGTTCCTTTCAATGGTACAGGATAATTTTCTTCCACCATTTGCCATAACGATAAAAGCAACTTTGTTCTACAGAATTTATCAGTTGGTGGTAAATTTTCGTTCAAGTTTTTTGTAGAAAACTTTACATCGTTTTTTATTGAATGCATTGGAAAAACACTTCTTAGCAGTTTTATGACATTTCCATTTGTTTGCAGAGCAGTTTCTAAGGAGCCATATTCTAGAAATGAAAAATTGTCTTTCATTATCATTAAAATATATATTTTTATCAATATTAGAAATTAATATGTTATAGAATTTTATTGCTACATATTTTATTGTTACATATATGTTATATGTTATATGAATTTTATATGTTCTCACTAATATTCAACTAGAACATTTTATATAGATAGATTTAAATATTCATTTTAATGAGAAATGTGATTAGATGTATTTTACTCTTGTATAACATACGTTTAATTAGTTTATCGCTTTGTGTTCCTGTTAAAGGAACAGCTGCAAGCTCTTCTGTTATAGATGCACCATAGACAGCTGGCGTTATCACCTCTAAACGATGTTTTAAGTTATATACTATGTGTGGAAACATGCTCTCATAAGCCATAAAATGATACGAAGACAACCCTTCAAGTACGATGACTACAGTATGGCTTATCTTTTTGGAGAAAATTATTCACTTAGAATTATTAAATATTTTGAATTAAACTCTATCTCTAAAATACAGTATTGCTTGAAAGTTTCATGTTATATTGGCCAAGATTACTTTGTTATACTTCTCAAGTTTACACCATCTCGCTGGTAAGTAAGGAGAATGGTGTCCAAGTAGTGAATACAACAGCAGATGTTGTATATCGCTAAGAAATATTGGTATCCTCTTTCCCAAGTTTCCGACATCCAGAGTAGCGTTCTCGCCAACTGCTTTGAGAGTGAGTCTTGGAATTGCTTGAAGCCTTTTCTTGCGTTTTCTAAGTTCTTCCTTCAAGCTTGCATATTGACTATCACTTAATCTGTACATACATACGTACGTGTGTGTATGAGCATATGT